AGGCCATAGTTGGTCAACTAACCAACTAGAGCGATAAGACTGTGTGGACCGCGGCTCGGGTTGCAAGCCACATATCCGGCAGCACCTTGAGACAACCAGGCGTGATCTACGCGAATACCAAACTTTATTATTATAATATAAAGGCAACGGACCGAGCAATGATCTCATCGCTGCAACTTTCAAGCAACACTTGACAGAACCCTCGTAAATGTACCAAGTAAATTAATCTAACCCAAGGACTTCCCTGTACTTAAATTATAGGGGTCGCCGGCGAGCCTTAATACAAACTAATAAGGTATGGAAGGAGCGGTTAGACAAGCCCGGTACAAATTATGTGATAGAAAGATAACCACTAAGACGCTAGCTCACATAACTGTCAAAGGTCAATCCTTGTCAATAAAGTATCGGCTAAACTGGCACCGGCAAAGAAAACGAAACGTGGGTGAACGCAGTGGTCTACCATTGCGGTTGGAAAACTACCCAACCAGGTCCATGCCGGACAGTCAATCAATTACTACAATGTAAACAGAATTATTACGGACGCCAAAGCCCGACTAATTGTGTACACAAGAATTGGAGGGCAATGGCCCAGAAGAGCACTGTTTAAGTAACAAGAACGGACACGCGAGACAACGGAACAAGTGCATGGATAGATTTTACCTATTTTGATAGGTCGACGAACATCGAAAAGGAATGCGTAGGCAGGCATTCAGATATATTTCAGATCAACAGTTTATTGTGACTGAGATGGGCGGGAGTCCTTTTACAACGATGGCAGAAACTAGTCAACATCTGTTGATTAAATATGCAAAAAAAACTTTCAGATAAAAGCACGGCCGTTTATGACGAGGGATAAGCTTTTAATGTGTATCAACGAATCGGTCGCAAGAGTTCAATTGAAGAGAGCTACGTCGTCCAGATGGAGTTTTCACTCAGCCTTGGGGGCTTCCGCGGCGGCTTCTTCGTGTGCGTCTCCTTCTACTAGACAATAAAAACTATAAGAAGCGACTAACCTTCACCAGAAGCTTCCGCGGTCCAGAGAGCCAAATTGTCACGAAGGAGCTGCATGATCAGAGTGGAATCTTTGTAGCTTTCCTCTGACAGGGTGTCAAGTCCAGCAACTGCATCATCAAACGCAGACTTAGCGAGCTTGCAGGCTCTTTCCGGACTGTTCATAATTTCGTAGTAGAACACGGAAAAGTTCAAGGCAAGGCCAAGACGGATTGGGTGAGTGCAGCTAAGTTCCTTGGCGATTTCAAATGCCTCTTTGTAGCCAACAAGACTCTTCTCGGACGCCTCCTGGCGCTCTTCACCGACTCCGAATTCGGCAACATAGCGATAGTAATCACCCTTCCTATCATAAATACATTAGATCCGAAAGCACTACTAACATTTTCAGATAGAAGACCTTTGTTTCATGCGTCGAGGCCTTGGGAATGAGAGTCTTATCAAGAAGGTCGAGGATCTCCTTACAGATTTCCCTGAGTTCCTTTTCGATGTTAGTCCTGGCCATCTCCATAACCTTAGATTTCGTGCCGCCCTTCTGCTCTTGTTTCTGTTCGATGCTGCTAATTATCCGCCAAGCGTTTCTACGAGCGCCAACTACGTTTTTGTAGGCCACTGACAGTAAATTCCTCTCCTCAACGTTGAGTTCTGCATTCATTTCTGCCACCTGCTTCATGGTTTTAACCATGTCTGTAATTATGTTGTTAGTGAAAAGTTTCGAAAAAAATTAATAAAACAGGGGTAATTACCTTCATAGCGTTCGCTCTGTTCACTGAGCTTTGCCATGTAAACACAGTCCTCACGGCTGGCTTTGGCGTCCATCTCTGTATCCTGTGTCAAAACGTGTTAGCGACACGCCGTTCAAAAGTGTTTCGAGCGCTGTTACTGACGCGTTGAAACAAAGCGGGTTCAATGTAGATGAATCCAGAGCCAATCCCAAGGCCGCATATACGATTGGCGGAGGACCTGTAAACAAGGACGTTCGGTAAAACAGTTCTGTCGGAAAGCCTATGCCTTAAAGGTCTGTTTATAATAATTTCGCAAAATAAATTCAAGCTTTTATTGACCAACTAGCGCGGAAGCCCGGCTTCGCCTTGGGCTTCCTTACATGTTGTTGTC